GATTAAGGGGGTGTCTCTACTATGGGTTCATGTCATTGCACAGTAGGAGGAGTAACATTGTAGGAAATGCATCCCACAGTAGCAGTGTTAATGCAGCACCATGCTGTACATGCCAGGTCAGCATTTGTGCAGCTTTTTTTGTATCCTAAACTTCCTTTGTCACTGTTGTCCTCTGACACCCTCTTAACTTTTGCTGAAAATCTGTTAAGTGGAAATTACCAATGTTTTCTCTCAACACCAATCTGTGCTGTGACTGAAAGAGAAGTAGCTAAAAGACCAGCTTAGTGGTTGAGGCAGGCTGGGCTTCATCAGCCCAAGAATTGGTTTTGTTTGTGTGGAAATGGGCTGGATCTCAGAGGAAGGCAAACACAAATAGTATCCTGAGCATCTCCTTAGTTTCTTGCTACCTCTCCATTTTCTGGGTTTTTCTACTTCACTTGTTTTGGTTAGTGTATGAAGGTAATGATGGTGCTTTGAGGTAACAGTGAGTGAGCACAGTGGATGCTGGAGCAGAAAGTGGTTATCTCTGTTGTCTTTTTGATCTGACCTGGTTTCCTAACTGACTGAAGCTGTGTTGAATTAGGGACAATCACTGGCATGTCAAAGCACTTGCTGGTGTTCAGGAAGGCATGTGCTTACCTTGGTAGTCAAGTCAGTGGTTAATACTGAAGGGTAACAAACTGGGAGGGCACAAATTGACAATCAAATTGAAATAGATTGTTAACTAATCCTTCCAATTTTATTTATTAATTTTGTAATTATAGCAAATGAAATCCTCACAAGTTACTCTGATTGCTTGGCTTACCTCAATTTATATTCAAATCTCACTAAAACACATTTCAGCCTTTTCTTAACGAGATGATGGAAAGTGCTATCCCATGGAAGAGTAGGGGACACACATTCCAGCATTACTTGCAGTCACCTGTTTGCTTTTTAATGTTGCTGTTGAATTTGTATTTAACTCAGGATTAAAGTATAAGCTGACGTATTTGAATAAGGATATCTTTAAGCCATGAGTTCTTAAAATTTAAAAAAAAATGGCTGCACAGTTGGTTAATAGAGATTTTAAAACACAAAGGATGCTGAGTAACTAAGACATTGTACTACTGTTGATTGGAATCACAAAGCAGTTTCATGACACAGAGAGCCACTGGGGTCCCACTGCATTTGTGGCAGTGCTGGAAGAGGATGGGTTCTCATTCCTGGGAGAGGTGCAGGAGCTGTGTGGGTGGTGATGGGCAGAGGGCAGGAGCTTCCCTTGGAGCCTGCCTGGGAGCTCTCAGGAGCAGGCAGTGGCCCTGGGTGCTGGTCTCAGGGAAAAGGGGTCAAACACGCAGTCCTGCCCTTCACCCAGACAGGGTGAAGCATTAGGATTTGTTCCCTATGTGCCAGACAGCACTCAAACAGGAACAGCTATTCCCCATCCTCAGTGGATGCACTGTTTTACCAGGGAGCAAGGCTTTTAAATGCCAGCAAGAACTTGTCACTGACTACCATTTGCTCACAAGTGTGTATCTCAGGTCACCTCTGTGGCTTTAAATGGGGTTTATATTTATTATTTCTGAAAGGCAGGTTTGTGTATGATTTTCAGAGTGGGTCTTTTTCACCAAATAAGTGATTGATAATGACTGGATTTTGATCAGATTTTCCAGGTAACTCTGGAGGTAATTTTTAATGGTTTTCATTGTAAATTTATTCTTTAAGTGTGATTATTAAAAATGAGCTAAAATACAAACCAGGTTTGTTTTCCCAGTTAAGAAAACCTGCTGTTAATGGGACAGTGAGCAAATGCCACATTCATATGTTGATATCTATCAGATCAAATCAAAATCTACTGTTTGGCACAAGAGGTAAAAAATCCCACATTGTAATAAAACTGCCACAGGATCAGAGTGTCTCCTGCTTTGTAAATAAACATCTCTGCTTTGCCTCGGTATTTCTGTAACATCCGGAGACTATTACCCTGTGCTGCTGCTCTGGTTCATTGACAGTTTCACTTAAACAGTTAAACAATAGTTTGAAATGGAAAATGTTCTGCCCATATTCCTTACTTAGTTCCTTTGTGGGTTTTTTCCCACCCCTCAAATGTTTTTTTGTTGGATATTTTTGTTGGATTTTTCAGTCAGTCGCCTTAGTAATTGCATCTTATTTTTCACTACACAGGAAAATACCGAACTGCTCACAAACCTCATTCAAAGCCAAAAGTATCAAATGTTTTTGAGGTAGATTTTCCAGCAAATGGAAATGATACAAAACCAATGGGTCGTTTTCAGTCAGAGGAGGAGCTGTGGGCCCGTTTAGAAGAGCTCGAGAGACAAGAAGAGATGCTTGGTGAACTTGACAGGTACAGTGCTGCTGTGGCACAGGCAGAACTGGAGTCCAGAGGGTTGTGGGGCTGCTGGTGCACAGAGGGTCTCACCAGCAGGGCAAAGAGCTGACCACACAGCTGGAATTAAAATTATCATAGGTGGAAGAAGGGTGGGACACAAACAAAGCACTCGCTGCAACGCCAGAGCTCCTAAAATCTGCCTCTGTGCAACCACAGCAGTCCAGCCTTCTGGCTTTTTTTTTCTTTAAGATGAAGAGGGGGAAGTGAAATTAATTTCCCACAGGCTGTGAAAATCCATAGTTTTCCATGTGGGAGTTACCCACTTAATGCTGTATAGCATCCTTAGATCTATTCTGATCTGCAAGCATGGTTTTTAGCCATGATGTCACAGTTCTGGTACTCCAGTTGGTATGGGAAGGGCACAGGCATTGTTAGAGGGCACAGAGAAGTTGCACTGTCTGTCTGAAAGTACAGCACCTGGGTAAAGAAAGTTACATGCAGGTGAGTTCATTACTTTGTATGTTTGTCGCTCAAGAGCACAACTTGCCTCTGTTCACGTCGGTATTTTTCATTCCTTAGGATGCCCGATGCAGTTCAGGTAAATGGAGAAGATGCAACCTCTTCTGAAGATGAGAGGGAGGACAAGGACACAGATGTGAATGGGACCTGTAGGGCAGAGGACTGTATTACTCAGGGCAACTTCCATAAAGAATTTGGGAATTCAGACTTGTTTGTGCGCCACCTTAATGGCTCCACTTATCACAGTGATGATGAAGATGACAGAGATGTTGGACATAACTCTGTTCCAACTATTTATTTCTCTCACACTGTGGAACCTAAAAGGGTTTGTACTTTATTTAATTTTTATCCTTTGCTCAAGAGAGTACATAAAATATATATGCCATATGTAAACCTGAAAACTTTAGATCTGTAGATGTAGTAGAATGCTAGCTGGAGGTGACATTGGGGTTTTTTTTCATATTATTAAAACCTCTCTGTTTAGATCCTGTTGTCCTAAATATGGTATTAAAAAATGATCTTCAGGTGTCTGCCTTGTTGTTCTGGCTTCTGGCTGTTGTAAAAGGCAGCATCCTGTCTAGGAGTTTTTTAAAAGACTTCTTACTTGCCTTGAAACTGGCCTTTGAGCAGCTCAGCTGTTGAGCAGAGCTTGAATAAGCAGACTGTCATATTTTATATGCAAAATATGTGCACGAGGGCAAAGAAATGCCCCAGCCTAGTGCAAGTGGCAGAGAATAAACAGTGCACACTATGAATGTTACCATTCATACATTTGTTTAACTTACCTGTGCTTCCTAGTCCCCAACTGCTTGGGTAAGAGAATGTCAGGAATCAGTTCATCTGCAGACTGGTGATTGTTGATTTTATGGTCTAGACCATCATTTGTGTTCAATTTTCAGGTAAGAATAAACACAGGAAAAAATACTACTTTGAAATTCAGCGAGAAGAAAGAAGAGGCCAAGCGTAAAAAGAGGAACAGCAGTGGCAATGGCCATGCAGCTCCAGAGCTGCCCATCATCAAAACCCCAGCAGACATTTACAGGTGGGTAATTTATGGTGCAGCTTTCCCCTGAGCAGACCTTCTCCTTTCATTTCTGTCCACCTAGAGTGTGTAACCCCACCTACAGTTTCCTGAAAGAAACAGCTGGAACTGAATTTACTACTTAAAAATGAAAGTTTGTGCCTTCTGCATGGTTGCTTTGCTTTCTTATTCATAAAATATTTCTGAGCTGAACACTTGCTTTTCCAAATAGCAGTTCTTCTTTTACCTGTTTTTCCAGAGCTTCTGAAATGGAGGTAAATTTGCTAGTATGTGTCATCCTCAGAAAGGAATGCAGCAGTTATGTTATGTGTTCTGGTTAATTCCCTGCCATTTTTCTCTGTGTTTGTTTTCAAACAGATCTGATCAGATCTACCCCTTGTAATACTCCTGCTTTCCTGGTTATTGATTTGCTGGACTCTGTCTCTTCCTTTCTGTGTCTTCAAAACATACTCAGCTCTTTGCTTGCATAGTTTCTTTTGCATTCCCTCTTCCTGGCCTCAGTCTGTCACTTTGTGTTCTTCATAAAAGGTACTGCTCACCTGTAGGACACTCCGACACACAGAGCTTGAAAAACAGTGCTGGGCTTAGGGCATTGTACAAAACAACTAGGGTGACAGGATAATTAAAACAAATATTTAGGTTTGTAAGGATGAATACAGGCACCTATTGGATTGCTTGATTAAGTGGTTGTGAGAATGCCACTGTGTGTGTCTGTATTTGGGTACCTAAATATGTTAAACATGTTACAAAGTGTTAAAAGTGAAGCCACATCCTGTAATTGCAGCTGCAGTGGCTGAAGATGAGCAAAAGATTGTTTGGTGTTCCTCCCCCTGAGGCCTGCAAATTCCATCTTCTGTAGAGATGTATTTCCATAAGTGCCTGATGAATAAAGCTGTTAGAAACAAGTAACACCCTTAAAATCATCCAGTCATTGGGCTGCTCCTTTATGAGTTTGATAAAATTGGCATTGTCTTCTCATTCTCCTCCACCCACCCTTGACTTTCTCAAGTCATGGAGAGGGAGCACAAGAGCCATCTTTGTCAGTTCACAGTCTGTTAATACTTGAAAAGTGTCTTCCTGTTGATCTGATCTTATAAGCTGATTTTTAAAATTTTGTTTCTAATTGAAAGCAGATTATGACACTTGTCAGGAGAAAGCTCCATCTTTTCCATGTGCAATGAATGTTTCAAGTATTTGTTTTTGTATTCTACATATGACAAGGACTTAACTCCAGAAAACATCCCCAGATTGTGATCTGAATCTCTTTACAGAAACAACTCTGGTCATTATTTAATTTACCTTTTTCCTAACTTTTTCTGACTCACACCTGTCTGTTTTGTAACATTTTTCAAAGAGCTATGCATTTTCTGCTGAAAATAAGTACCAACTTAATGCTTGAATAAAGGGCATAACAGCATTCACTCTGCAGAATTGATTCTTGTACACTGGTAAATAAATAAAGTGCCTCTGAAGGTACAGCATTGTCATTCTGCAGCGAAAAAGTTGGGAAAGCACATCATAATTAATTTGTACAAAAGACAAAGCAAGATCACTGTAAATTTGTCATCTGATCCTGAAATGGTTTATTAAAGCTAACATTTTCCTTTATAGATACTTTGTTGATGTTGTGAATGGAGAATATGTCCCTCGTAAATCAATCCTGAAGTCCCGGAGCAGAGAGAACAGTGTTTGCAGCGATACCAGCGAGAACAGCGCTGCTGAGTTTGATGACAGACGAGGAGTTCAGAGGAGTGTTAGCTGTGATGAAGCCACTCAGAGTGACAACAGCGAAGGCATCCTCGAGGAAGAGGAGGGGGAGGAGAAGCAGCAGCTACCGAAAAAGCTTCCTCCCTCCTCAGGGACAACTGAGGTACAGTTTTTAATTCATTATTGATTGTTGGCAGGGATAGAAATGAGAAATCTAATGACTCTAGTTGTCTATACCATCAGTTTTATTTCTTTAAAATAATTTTCTAACTCCTGTCTGATTCACTTCAGAAGGACATAGCGGGTGACAGGCCTCAATCACACATACCTTAGGGGCAGAGGGGAGGAGCTGCTCACCTCGTGGCTTCACCAAGGCTTGAAGCTCTTCCATAAAGATCCAGCAAAGTGCTCACTCACTGGTGTTACTGAAACCTGTGTGCTGGGTCACCCTGATCACTTCTCTGCAGGAGAGACAGCAGCATTTTAGACTAAAAGAGGGAAATCTGTACTTTGTAACTGATCAGAGGAAGAGGTGACTCTCTAACCTGTCTTGCACTACTAGGCAGCTAATTTTTAAGGAGTGTTTAAAGTTTAAAAATAGATACCAGCTGAATTACTATTTTGATGTGCCAATAGCAGAGAAACTGCCTGGTGGAAGGAAGCATTGCACCCCTACTCATCCTATTCCAGACTAAGCCATTAGGGATCCCAAACAAATCTGTTTACATGTGTTTGGAAAGTTCAGGGCTCCGTCATAAAAGACAGACTGTACAATGTAAGGGAAGATGTACAGTTGCTTGGTGACTGGGTGAATACAGGAATTAAATGTAGAGATTCGTGGCACAGCGCATTCATTTCTGTTTTGTAACAGCTTAACACTAATTTTTTCAAACTAGATAAAACTTGAGTCTTCAGTAGTTCCCAGTGCAATGGACAAGTTCAATGAAAGCACTACTTCTGCAAAAATTATTTTGGACAAGAAATGAATTCCTCATAAAAGCTGTTGTTTATCACCATTTTTCATGCAAACAGCTTCAGATGAATCCAGGCAGGATGTGAAGATTCATGATGGAAAATTTATCTGTGGAGTTAGCACTCCACATTGTATACTTTCTGGAATATATTTGCTATATTCTTATAAAACATCTAAGTACACTTTAGATGTTACCCATCAGTCTATTACCTGAGTCTGGCATGATTATTCTCTACAATGTAATGTATTTTCTGAGCAACTGAAGGAGATTAAGCAAAACACTCCAGTCAGATGTGCTTCCCTAAATGCTGTTGTTTTGCTTTTGGTTGTTTTTGTGGGTGTTTGAAATCCATTATTTCTCCATTACCATTTGCAACACGCTAGCTTTTTTTTATTTCTAATTTTACCACCATCACTTAGTTTGTGCATTGCTTACCTGTTTTTGAAAATGAGCTTCTTGTTAGATTAACAGAGTTGTACAAGCACAGCTTTAGGCACACTTGGGCTACTGGAGCAGAAAACAAAAAACACTGCTTTTTTTGCAGGTCCAGCAAGAGAATGGCCTGTTTGTTTTGCTTTGTCTTTGTTGGTAACTGAGTTATGAAAAAGCAGAACTAAGCATAGTGACTGAATCTGGTGTGCATTCCTTTGTGCCCAGCATGAGCATCAGACCTTGGATGTGGAACTGCTTCCCCTTGTCCTTGGGCATTCTGAATTCTCTGTTTTCAATACATAGTGGAGTGATTTGTTCTTAAATATGTTTATGAAAAGTAATTCTAAGCTGCTTGTTTTCCAGGAATCATGGTCATTTCTTTGCTAAGTTGAAAAGGATTGTCACATAATTGGCTGCATATAAATTACAATTTTTAAACATTAGATGTTTTTATTAGGCCTTTTATAGAGAGAAATAGTTGGAAGCAAGTTTGCTGTTCACTTAAATATAAATGGCTTTCACCATTTTTTGATCATATTTGGTAGGGAGAAAAGAAGTATCAAAGTATGTGCTTGCTAGTTCATATGCAATGCTTGATGCAATTAGAAGATTCTAAGTCATAAAATGACGTATGATGGAAATGCTAACATCAACTTTGCAAAGTCTCTCCATTTTATATCCAAAATAAAACTGTGTATTACATCAGCTGTTTGATTTCTCAAGCATGTGTCAGTGAGGAAGCAAATTTTTACATCATTTATGCAGTAGGAATGAGATTAAGTAGTACTTTTAAGATACTGTCTTTCATTCAGTCATCCTTGAACAAGCTATATTTTGAGGTTAATTACAATGTGGTTACTTATGCAGGCAACAATCATTGATTTAAGGATATTTCTTTACTTTTGATTAGAAGAAATAACAATTCTAATCAGGCTAATATAGGGTAATGACCTTATGGGCATAGCTTCACATTTGCATTTTATTAGCTGATTCTGAGTATTCTCTTCTGTTGTAGGCATTTTCTGGAACTGTCATAGAAAAGGAGCCTTTGTCTCCCTCCGCAATGCCACACCCAGTGCTGGCTCACCCAGTGCTGCCCACCATTCTGGAGCGCAAATCCGAGGAGCTCTTGTCCGACGCCCCAGAAGAACCTGTCAAGAGGATTTCCAAATTCAGAGCTGCCAGGATGCAGCAGACTCAGTAGGTGCTGCTGAGCCCAAGCACGAGCCCTCTTGCCTGCTTTCACCTCTCTGGAGATGGTATAAAGGCTTCTCTGTAGCATCCAGCATTACCAGAGTGTCCTGTGGTAATTTGGCACCGTTATCTCCTCAACGTTTGCTGGCAGCATTAGGAAAACAAACAGTTCAGTGTTTGAACACTTGAGTATTCATCTTATTTTGTCGGTTTCCCTGTGTGCTGTCAGCACCTTTGTATATGTTTGCCTTACGATAGCAGCACTTGGGTTCTTTTTTCAAAAACTGTTCCTTACATACATTGTTTTTGTGTTTAAAACTAAATACAGGCAGTTTTGTGCCAGCTGTGATGTTCTACATACCATATGGACCATTTTAAGGAAACTTTTCACATTTCAAATAGATTCACCAATTATATTACATTACTTGCTTTAGCATTTTAACACACACTTGTATTCACATTGCTGTAGGTTTTGCAACTAGGTGTCTGCTAAAAGTTTTTTTCCTTCTTTCAAACCTCTCTGATATCTCACTGTACAGGTCTATAAAATTCCAGGTTCATGTACATTGCAGGGAAGTTTCTTTGATGGAAAAGGGTATTTTGTAAAATTAAATTTTCAGTAAAAAAGCTGTGAAACTGGTGTGGTTTTTGTTGCTTTACTACTAATTTGGAAGCTCCACAGAGAGGTTTTTATTTTGAACTTGCATTTCTAGCTTGAAGTGTTTACTACCACATGGACATAAAAGCAGTCCATTCTCTTCTGCCATTGTGTTTTAACCTCCTGCTAATGAATGTCCATGGAAATTGAATGCTCTTAAGGAGAGAAGCATAAACTCAGACTCTTGATTACAAAATCTCCTAGTTCTTTTGTATACTCAGAAAACATTGTAATTGTCTTGGGAATGCCCAGAGGGAGTCAGCACTAAGGAAAAATGTCTTAATGCTTCAGCTTTATTTCAAAATGGAACAGCACTGCAGCACTCAGGCTACAGTTTGGTGTATCCTTGTCAACTGAGAGCAGTCCTGGCTTCAGGATTACCTGCCCAGCAGCTCCTTCTTCCAATCTTCTTGCCATCCCCTCGTTTTGCTGACAGAGCTTTTGTTGTTAGGAGCCACCCCTTGAGTGATAGTAGGTGACAGAGATAGGCTTTACAAACAAACTACTGGGTTTAGTTTCTTTTTTTTTTTCATTAGTGTGTGGGTTTTTGAACCTTGTGAGTTTCCTAATCTCTCAGCACGTCTGTATGAGCACAGTTAGAGGGGTTGCATGTTGGGCAAGGACAAGGGAAAACGATGGCAGAGGGCATGGGGAGCTGGAGTACCTTAAACTGATGGTGCTCTCCAGCTGACGCCTGGCCTGACCAAGCCACAGCCTGAGAGGTGAGGCAGGAAGACTTTGGGAGGGGTAAGGAGGGACTGTGACTCTGTAAATGGGGAGCCTGAGAGCCATCAGCATCTGATTTTCCAAATCTTGGCAAGCAGATAATGCTGTTTCCTCACCTTCCCCTAAAATAGCTGCGCCTTGTACCCAGATCCTTTGCTCTCAGATCACAGCAGATGAGCTCATGGTGTGGCTTTGGAACAGAACCACCAGCTCCCCCTTGTCTCAACACTCCTCTCTCTGTTAGGGAGGTGGAGGCACCGGAACTTCTCTTTCTAAGGTGACTTCTAAAGTAAGCAGAGGCACTCTGTGGATCCCCACTAAGAGTTTGGGAAGCCACAGTGGCTTCATGGGCAGAAAACTGCGGCCAAGTGTGGCAGCAGGAGGGCAGGGGGGCAGCAGCCCACCACAACTGGGGGCCA